GTATGACCTGGTGACCCAACTCTCGGAAGTCACATGGCAGCACCACCCCACGAGCTCCTCCCGGGTGTGGGAGACAATCTGTCAGAACCACATTCCAGGAGAAGCGGATTGGCAGGGCTCGAGGAGCTAGCTGACCTCAGGCACATTCGAACCCAGGACCTGGCTTTCCACGGCAGGCCATCATGCACGAACGATACAGGTTTTCTCCTCATGTCTGCTCAACAGTTGTGCCCTCCCTTTACCCTGCTACGTGAATGTTCAGGGGCTGAAGCAGCAGTGGAGGGCCACCTCATTCTTCCTCCACTTATTGAGTGCCTATTCTGTGTGAGGGACCAGGCTGGGCCCTGGGGAACACGAAGGGATCACTAGTAGAAGACATTCTTCAAGGTTCCACTAAAGCAGGCAGACAGATATGTTTTACTTTTTATTTTCAAGGTTTATTTATTAGAGAGAGCTAGGGCATGTGTGTGCAGGTGTGATGGGGGCAGAGGGAGATGGAGAGAAGCAGACCCTCCCACTTAGCACAGAGCCCTGTGTAGGCTCGATCTCTCAATCCCGAGATCATGACCCGAGCTGAAATCAAGAGTTGGACGCTGCACGGACTGAGCCCCCAGGTGTCCCCGGCCGACAGACATTTAGGACAGTGGGTCTCGAATGTGCCATATCAGAGAGCATTTAAAAGACATTGATGGGATGCCTGGGTGGCTCAGCGGTTTAGCGCCTGCCTTTGGCCCAGGGCGTGATCCTGGGGACCTGGGATCGAGTCCCGCATCGGGGTCCCTGCGTGGAGCCTGCTTCTCCCTCTGCCTGTGTCTCTGCCTCTCTCTCTCTCTCTCTGTGTGTGTGTGTCTCTCAGAAATAAATAAATAAAATCTTAAAAAAAAAAAAGACATTGATGCTGGGACCCCACTCTAGACCAACAGAATCACAGTGTCTGGGCTGGAGGGAGGGGTCCCAGGGGATCTCAGTAAAAAAAAAAAAAAAAAAAAAAAAAGAATCTCCCTGGGTGATTTTAATCAACGAGCAGGGCTTATGGTCAAATAACTAAGTTATGCTGAGTTGGTGCCCTTGAGAACGCTGGGGGAAGTAGCAACTATGGTCTGAGAGGGAGCTAAGGAAAGTCTAGGGGATGATGGTGGTGATGCTATGACTGTAAGCGGTGATCAGGTTTGTGGCACAAACAGGGGGTGCCGCAGAAGATTCCAGACCAAAGGAATGAGGGAGGCCAGAGGGAGCCTGTGGCTTTCCTCAGTTGGAGAGTTCTAGCATCAATGCCCGAAGACGGCACCCACACCATCCAGGCAGCAGCCTGAGACAGGTGTATAGAACATCCCAGCAGCTCGGAGGAGCACGGCTGCTCATGGAGGAGGGCAAGACCCCCAATGCACAGTGCCCACTCTTCCTCGCACATGGAAACAACCTGAACTCACAATTCCCTGTTCTATGTCTTCAGTAGTCAGTTCTGGCCCTCAGGTTGGTCAGGTGAGGTCTCAGTAACAGGGTTGCACTTTTTTGCCTCCCCATTTCCCAAAAGTCTTTTTTTTTTTTTTTTTTAAGTAGCCTCCATGCCTAGTACAGCGCAATACCCAACTTGAACTCACAACCTGAAATCAAGACCTGAGCCGGGATCAACAGTCAGACATTCAACTCACTGAGCCACTCAGGTGCCCCCAACAAAAGTCTTTTTCACTTAGAAGTCAGTGAATGCAAGATCCCAGGTTACTACCCCAGTCCTCTCCAAGTGGAGGAGGAACGGAGAACAGGTGTGCATGAGCCTGTGCACAGGTGTGGATGTGTATGCGTTGCCTGTGCATCCAGAGGCAAACCCATAATCTGATTTATGTTCTGGGTTTCACATCCTACCTGCTGCCCTGTCCTCATTCCACAGCCCTCCGCCGTGGTAAAACAGCCGGTCATCTGTGGGTATTCCACCATCCTAATGGCTGGTTGGCCAGGACTGTGCACAGGACTTTGCTGGTCCAGTGAGAATTGGAAATTCTGTCACCCTGGTGTGAGTGAAGAAACACACAGGTCCTGGAGGTTTCTCCAGCCATTTCACCTGGGACTTAGCATGATGCTGGCAAAACTTCCCATTGCTGTTGAAGTCTGTGTGGATGATTTCCAAGATGACAACTCACAGGTCTCTCCTCTCTTGGAGCCAGGCCCTCCTCCCAGCAAGATGTGAAATAGGAACCCACTTTCCCTGAGAGAATGTGACAGAAGGAGTGTTCCAGGACTTCTGACTCCAGGTTTTAGGGAGCCATACAGTGTCTACTTTGACCCTCTTGGGATCCAGCTGCCATGTTGAGAAGCTGAGGCTAGACCACTCTGTGATGAGAAACTGTATGGAGAGACAGAGATCAGCCTGCTCCCACTTCTCATCCCTCGAGCGGAGACACCAGACATGTGACTGAAACCTCTGAACCTTCCAGGCCCCCTCGAGTCCCCTAAAGAATGCAGGTGCAGGAACAGTCCTAGTCAACACCAGGCAGAGCAGGGGAGCCATTCCACCAAACCAAGGAGTCCCGAGAAAGAAACGTTGTTTAAACTCTTAAGTTTGCAGTGGTTATACAGAAATAAATAAGGGATTCACAGGGTGAGTTGGATTTTAATAGAGTCCTAATTGATTTGCTTCCGCAAGTTTTAAAGAGGCTGACAGGATTGGTGAATGGCCAATGGTGTCACCAAGCATTCAAGCCTCTTCCTGTCTTCTCACCCCGCCATCCCCACTGCAAGGACGTCCCTCAAGCCACACCCCATCACCGACACAAGAAGGCTGCAGGTACCGGACGTCGCATCCAGACACATACCTAGCGGGAAACAAGGAGGCCTTCTTTATGTGCTTTTTTAAGAATGAAAAAGGGTTTTGTCCCCCATAGCGGGATTCACTGGCTTAGACTTGTCTTAAAGCAGTCGTGGGAAAGAGTGCCTTACAAGAACAAGAGTTCACCGCTCGCCACGCAGAGGGCTGGCCCCTGGACCGCGATGAGTTTCTGCGGGTGAGGACAGAGGGCTGGTGTCTGCTACAATGTGAAACTAACATCCACAGTTGGCTGAAACAGACCCTCCTAAGAGACAGGCAGCCTTTGCCCAGCAGCGCTGCCTGACCTCCGCTCGTGCCCACACCCTCTAAATGTCACAGTTTGTAAAATTGAAGGCGAGTGAAAATCTGGCTCTAGGCATCAGGGTCTGGCAGGAAGCAGGGGTCTTCTTGGGAGATTTGGGAGATAGTCTGACAAAGGGACATGGCTCTGGGACCCATCCAGGGGTGCTGTTGCCTGAGGGACAGCAGGAGCAGGAGGCCATGGAGGCCTGGGGTGGTGGTGGTGGTGGTGGTGGTGGTGGTGGTGGTGGCACCTGGCCCAAGTTGACACGGTGGAAGGTCTGTAAGCACTGTCTGCGGAGGGCCACAGGCACTGTAGGCCCCAGCCCTGGAAGGGGCGGTGAGGCGGGGAGGCCAGGCTGGAGGGAAGGACATGCCCAGGCTCTCCAGGTCTGCAGCCTACAGCAGGCTGCTCTGTTGGCAGAGGCCCCCTGAGGATGACCTGGGCAGAGAGATCTGGACGGAATGGGGACAAGCAGCACGTTAGCTGACCAGAAACTGGAGTGCTTTCCCGAAGGGAGGCGGTTCAGAAGAGGCATTGTTCATAGTCGCTATTCCTCTTAAGCCACAGTCATTTCTGGTTGTCCACTTCTGGTCCAGGAGGGGGGCCTCAGCCAGCTAGGGGGACATTCGCACCTTTGCGTCCTTCCCGGGGCACGGCCTCTGCGGCTCGCATCTCACAGGTGATGACGGGGGAAGCCGAGAGACAAGTCGGAGCAGGTAGTTGAGTTAGTACAAGGCTGCCCGTGTTGCTGAGAACGCGGTTTCTCCGTCGGGAACACACAGTCCCTGGAGTGAGATGGTGGTGTCGGTGCGATGGGGCAGGCCCGCCGGGCCCAGAGCTCGCAGCGCCACGCGCGGTGCCCCAGGGACCCGGCCTCCAGGTGTCCCGCTGGTGTCACCGGTCCCAGGGCGGTGCCCACCCGGCCCCCGCCTGTACTGTCGCGAGGGGGGGGCGTGGGACGGCGCGGGTTTCAGCTCGCAGGCCCCGTTCACCTTCAGCCCGCGCGGGAAACGCCGCGCTAACGGGGCAGCCCCCTGGGGCGAGGCGCTGCCCCTCCCCCGCACAGCAGGGGCCGCCCTGTGGGGTCCCGCGGCCTCCCCGCGCCGGGGGCGGGCTGGGCACCCGGCCACGGAGGGCGGGGTCCGTGCGCGCGTGCGGGGCGAGGGCGGGCGTGGCGGGGGCGCGGGGCGCGGGGCGGGGCGGGGCGGGGCGGGGGCGCGGGGCGCGGGGGGCGGGTCGCGGGCGCGGGGCGGGGCCGGGGCGGGGCGGGGCCGGGGCGGGGCGGGGCGCGGGGCGGGGGCGGGGCCGGGGCGGGGCGCGGGGCCTGGCCGGGGCCTGGCGGGGCGGGGCCGGGGCGGGGCGCGGGGCGTGGCCGGGGCGGGGCGCGGGGCGCGGGGCGGGGCGGGGCGGGGCGCGGGGCGGGGCCGGGGCGGGGCGCGGGGCCGGGCCGGGGCGGGGCCGGGCCGGGGCGGGGCGGGGCGCGGGGCGCGGGGCGGGGCGGGGCGGGGCGCGGGGCGCATGCTCGCTCGCGCTCGTGACGTGCGCGCCGGGGCCGGGCGGCGGGAGGCGGAGGCAGGGCCCGGGCGGGCGGGGGGCGGGGGGCGGGCGGCGGGCCGGGGCCGGGGCCGGGGCCGGGGCCGGGTGGGGGAGGAGCCGGGGAGAGGAGGAGGCGGGCTCGGAGGAGCGCAGAGGAGCGGCGGGCGGAGCGGCGGAGCAGAGCGCGCGCCTGCCCGCTCCCAGCCGGCTCCCAGCCCGCAGCCCGCAGCCCGCAGCCCGCAGCCCGCGCCGCCACCCCGGGCCGGGCCCGGCATGAGCGCCGAGGGGCCGCGGCCTCCCCCTGCACCGCCCGGCGCTCCCAGGCCGTGACCGGGCCCATGGGCGCGCGGAGCCGGGCGCGGGGGCGCTGAGCGCGGGCGGGCGGGCGGGCGCGGCCGGAGCAGCCATGGACTGCAGCCTGGCGCGGACGCTCGTGCGCAGATACGTGAGTACCGCCGCGGCCCGGGATCCTGCCGCCGGGGCTGCGCCGGCCGTCGGGGGCGGGCGCCCGCGGGGCTGGGGGCACCCTCCGGAGTCCGCGCGGCCCTGGGCGGGGCGGCGGGTGCGGGGGTGCGGGGGTGCGGGGGTGCGGGGGTGCGGTCCGCCCGCCCGCCCGCCGGGCGCCCGCGGTGTCCTGCTCGTGCGGGAGACGCGGCGACTTGGGTGCGCGTTTGCACCGCCGCGGGGGTTCCAGAAGAGAAGCTCGGCACCTGCTTTCCCCGCAAGTGACCAGTCAGCCCAGAGGCCGGGCGTTGTGGGCTTCCTCCGGGGTCCACACTCGCGGGCGACCACGGGTGGTGCGGTCAGAAGAGGCTCGCGGGGAAGGCGGGTTATTTTGGCCTCAGGCGGAGGGAACGGGCAAGCGGCCCCGGGCCCTGGCACCGGTGTGGGGGGGGGGGTGTGCAGAAGAGAAACAGCTGTCCGGAGGGTGGTGTTTCCTGCCACCGTCTCAACAACAGGCTCCTTGTTCCCCAGAGGCTGACATCCGAGGAGGCCGGCACAGGTTTGGGGAGCAGCCCGCAGGGAGGATGCCACGCACACAGGCATCGTTAGGGGAACCTGGGGCTCCTTTCCCGTAGAAGAGTCACCTGGGGCAGACTTTCCTGTCGGTGAGCCTCCCCTGACTAAGACCCCCCTGGCCAGGGTCGGTGTTTCTCTTCCTCCCTGGGAACATGCCAGACCACCGACCGTGGGCTGATGGACTGTGTGCCTCTCACCAGGTGCCTGCTCCCTGGGGTCCGCCTGGGGCCTGTTAGGCGGCCCCCCCGCTGGAGTGCAGAGAACAGGTGGGGCCAGGCATAGCCTAGGAAAGCTCCTGTGACTTCCCCCGAAAGCCCTGTTTTGATGAGAGGGTAAATATCAGGTGAACATTTGTTTCCCCAGTGAGATACCTCCTGGAAAGCCCAGTCGCAGGGACCGGAGGTAGGCAGGTATGTAGGAGAAGTGCTTTGTCCCACAAGGACACTCTGTTCAGGGGCTCAGTTTGTCCAGGCCCTGTGGGCCCCTCAGCCGTTTCATTTCCTGCCTGTTTCCCTAAAGGGAAACCTGAGAAAGGGTGGACCTAGTGTTTACTTAAAACAGGCTCACAGTTTTCCAGTGAATTTCACTTCCTTTCAACTCTTAAGACTTTGTGATAAAAAGAAGGGTTGCGTGGAGAAGGGGGCGTGCTGTCTGCCCCAAAGAGAGATGGAGAGCGAGTTGACTCGGAGGCCACTGCCCGGCGGGCCTGACCTCCCTCCCTCCCGTTCGTCCCAGGTGGGGGCAGACGCATGGCCTTTCCTCCAGGCGCTCAGCTGGATTGTGTCCTATCCATTTATATAAACTTCCTGTAGTTTACATGTCAAAATTCCCTTTTGTTGTGTTATTATGCTTATGAAATGGTAATTTCTCACAAACCTAAGTGGTCACTCTTCCGTCAAGAACTTCCTGGAATGTGCATTATTTGGTAATGTCCCGGGAATGCAGCTTTGGGATACTGTTATTTCTATTTTTTCATTCCACATCTTTTTTTTTTTTTTTTTCAGTTTGATCATTTAGTTGTATCACTGTATTCACATACAAGGCCATTCATTTCTATGATATTAAACTCTTGTTGATGCTGTTGGACTAATTGGAGATTTTCCAGAAACAGAATCTGTCAGGATCAGTCATGATGTAGGACCAAATTATATTTTATTTTGCTAGAGGACGAGCCTTGCAATTGAATCCTCATATCCTTGTGGTTTTGTTATGTGACTTATTTTGTAAGAATGAATAAGAGCTTATCCCCCGTTCTCTTCCAGCCTTCCCATGGTCAGAATTTCTAGGAAAGACAACTTTTCAGCTCCTTCTGAGGTGTGAGAGTTGCCAAAAGGTAAAGAAGTCCTTGGAAAATGTTGCTGCAGATATTTCATTCTGGCAAATTCTGGAGAGAGAGAGGGAGAGCGAGAGCATGAACAGGCATGTGAAGGGCAGAAATCTGTCCTGGGTTCTGCTGTGTTCCAGAGCCCAAGTTAGTGGTGTGTGGATGGGCGTGAGCCACATAAGGGTGATTTGTGTTTACAGATGGCACGGTGCTTGCCTACTATGAAATGGTTCATGGATCACGGGGTAGTTTGGCCTATTGAAACATTTTTGTATCTAACGAAGTTGGTGGAGGCTTGGTGTTATTTTCTCCTTCGATATGTGAGGTTCTGGAAGAAACTGTGTACCTTCATGGGTCACCGCAGATGCCCAGGCGCCTCGCCTGCCCAGCTGCGAAGCTGTGTAACCATCGGTGGTCTCCGCCTCGGTCGTCCGGTCATCCGCTCTGAGAGGAGTCGAGGCGCTCGTCGTCTCCTGCAGCTGCTGAGAGGATCGCATGAGTGATACGGGCCTGGAGCTGGGAACCGTGCCTGGTGCTCAGGAAAACGTTCAGGACATTTATCACTGCTGGCTGTTGACGTAATTCAGTCCCCCGGTGGGGCGGCCGGGGGAGAGCCAGTACGCAGCCCCGGCAAGCGAGCCCCAGCCCTGGCTCCCAGGCAGCAGGCCACGCACACAGGCCACGGGCCACAGTGTGCTCGTGGGTGAGCATCCCAGGGCAGGGAAGCTCACCGGCAGGGCGCTTCCTCTCCTTCCCTCCCCTGTCTCTCTGTGGGAGGCTCGCCCTGGCCGCCCCATCGCCCAGCAGCTTAGTCTGCTGCGCCTGTGATTTGTGTCCGGCCGCTCATCTGGGGCGTCCTTCCCCAGGTCTGCGCGTGGCAGTTCCATCTCCGTTTGTTTCCCACAGTTTGCTTCCTGGGATGTTTCTTCATTTTAAGAGGGTGAACTTCTGGAAACTGGAGGTTTTCCTTGCTGAGTATAGACGCTGTTTCTAGAAAGTGAGGGAAAAGCAAATATGTTTGGTCCCTGGAGAACATTATACACACTGTATCTGAGTGCTTTCCACCTGCGCAGAACTCCCCCCAACCCCAGGCCTGTGTGTGCCCGCGTGTCTGCATCCACCTGAATAGTGGCCCGTCCTAAAGGGCACACGTGCTTTCCGGTCACGTGCGGGTCTCTATGTAACAACGTAAAATGCTGTAGGATTTGGCCTTACCCGTCCCAGTCCACTGCTAGACGGCTGTGACCGCCACATCCTGTGGAGACTTGGGACAGGTGAGCCTGATCGAGGGTGTGCTGTGCGGCGCGGCTGCGGGCCCTTGTCTTGAGGTGTGCGCCTGGGCCTGCCAGCCCTGCTCCTGGCCGCGCGGCTGCTGTGTCTCTGATCTGCTTGGTCTCTAATTTAACCTTTATTGTCTCAAATCCCATAGAACCTCCGCTGCACGTGAGGGATGAGTGATGCTGAGAGGCCTTGATTCTATGCCGCAGGGTAAATTTAATAACAGTGGGGAAAAGGAGTTTACATTACGGGTTTTGCTACAGTCAGTTAAACGTCTAGGGAAGAGAACACTGGCTGTGTTTACAGTTGCTGAAAACTGTGTTGAATCCACTGATAAACATACCTCGCGGCTCAACGACACGGGAAGTCCTGTATTTACAGATCTAAATACAAATTGTTCCTTGGTGCTTGGACCATATGTTCCAACAGAAACAGGACTGATAAAAAGACAGTTGGATCCCTAAGTCCCAGACTTATAAATGCTTTTCTAACCAAGTTAAGTGTAGGCAAAAATGCTATTTATTTGCAACGAAAATCAGTGGAAGGCAATTTGTACAGCATTAGAGATTCAGCAGGATTGAGGGAGGATTGTGTGTGCATTCACTGGGAGGCTGGCACCTCAGAGACACAAAGTCGTAGATCCCGGAGGTCAGAAGTCGGACCCTGCCTCCATCTCTGTGCGCCCTGGGCACACTGGCTCACATCCCCGACTTCTCACTGGAGCCTGAAGTGGTGGGGGTACCTCCCTGCGCAGAGCCCTAGGTGATGGGGGTACCGCCCTGTGTGGAGCTTGCATATCCTGCTGGGAATGTGGACCTCTCACGACAGCTTACAACCCTGGGCTTCTCAGCCCTTCAGACCCTCCCCTTCACAAGGAGCGTTGAGACCTTGCCTGTGCTTCGTGGAGGGAAGGCAGTCACCAGACAGGACGCCCCCTCTTCCAGGCAGCCCTCCAGCCCTGCCTGGTCTGCTCTTGTCTCCTTTCTCCTGGATCATCTGTGTCCCTCATTGTCCCTGTGGCAGTGGCCAGGTCTTCAGATCACTCATTCTTAAACTGCAGACTTCCTGCGTCCATATTCCCTTCCTGCCTCCGCTTCTCCATTTCCATCACTGCTGAACTTTGGTATTGAACTGATGTGTCCTGCCATCCTCCTGTAGCCTCCTCGCTTTCTAGTGGGCTCATCACCATCCCCATCACCTTGGAGGCCTTTGGTGTCCTTCAGACCCTCCCAGCACACACTGCTGGGAACTCTGTGTGCTCACTTAACCCTCTCTGAGCCATACACACCCAAGCCCTGTCCTGGGGGCACTGTTTGGGGGGGGGGGCAGCAGAGTGAAGCACAGGAGTGGATGTGAGGGCAGAGCTGGGGTCAGGAGCTGTGTCCCAGGCAGAGATGGCTGCTGTGTTGCCTGCTGCTGGCCCTTCTCAGGTCAGCCCAAGGCTCCATGCCAACGCACCCTCTCCTCTGTGCACACCCCTGCCCGGGGGACCCACACACACTCTGTCCGTGTCCATTGGCCCCGCATCTCTCCCTGCATCTCAGCTGCCCCAGTGCATGCCTGGACCAGGTCCTGGGCATGGTTGTCCCTCTGGAAACATCTGCTGTGCCGGCTGATTCATCCTTAGATCAGGGCAGCTGATAGGTGTGTGGTGGAGGTCGGGCCCGGATGCTCCAGAAGGAAGCCTCACGGGTGCTTTCAAGGATCTTGACTGATTCATGACAGACTCTTGAAACACGTTTAGCATGACTTCAAACTTTTGGACTCTCTTTCCTTGATACATTCACAGCGTCGTAAAAAGGTGGCAGTGGGCAGGCATCCAA